TCCCCAAAACCCCAAGCTGTTTGAATTCACTGAAGACGGGATTTAGAAACTAGTGTGGTATCTTAAGCACCTAAATTAAGTTCCCACAGAAAGACAGCAATTCCAAAGCTCAAAGATGGAAAATTATGAAATACACTGGTGGTGTCCCAGTTTCTGACTGGTTTGGGTAAGCAGGGGAGAGCTAATTTTTCAAGTTTTCAGACAAATGAGAAGTCACCACTTTCTTAAATAGAAAGGTAACATTACACTCAAGAATTAGCAGGTATTACTGTATTTGAGACTAAGTTTGCTGTGGCATAAATTTCTTCTACTGTGTGTGGAAAACATTTTCCAAAATACAACAACATTCAACATGCATGTACTCCAACTGTTTACCCTATTTTCAACTTGTTTTACAATCACTGAGCAAAATAATACTTTGATTAAAGCTTTTGTAGCCATTTACTGACTTGAAAAGTAGAAAGAAAAAAAAAGTAAATAATCAGTACTTACAGCAGCCTTAGTCTGAGAAAAAGTAGCCCATGCTGCAGTTAGATCTTACAGGGCAGAAACAAAGAAATAAAGTTCTCATTAGTACATGGAAAACAATGAAATAAAATGTTGCTTCAAAACAATTTTCATGGGTTCACTAATCAAGTTCTTTTAACGACTCATTTCCAGCCTGTAAATTTCCTCTATAAGAGGCTGTTATCAGTGAAGACTCATCTTAACAGAGCAATAAAATATTTAATGTAAAATTTAATGAGTTCACTATGTTAGGTTGAATGCATTATTACACTTGAAATCAAACCTACCACACATTATAGAAGACGTTTAGAAGATAAAATAAAGCTGGTTATCTACCCCACACAAATATCTTATATTTTTCTATTAGACTATAGTTTAATTACTTCTTTTCCCCCTTCAATTTTCTTCTTCAGTAAACTAAGCGTGAATACACGGTCAATGAAAGACTCTACTCAAAACCCAGGCTTTGAACATGTGAATTTTGAATAGCAATTTTTTTGAACCGTACACCCTACAAACAAAATAGAAGCAATGTTTGCAAAGAGCATGCAGGAGGCACTAATCAACTTCAGCCTTTTAATCTAAGCAGACAGCACATGCTCTATGCGCAATCCAGTTCAGTAGGATGCAGTAGTATTTTCCTCTGAAAATATTTATTTCCTCAGTTCCACTCTTCTTTAGGTTTCTAATGGTTTTCTTCTAATCCAATGGTTTACACAATGCAACATCCAAAACCTCAATGTGCGTCAGAACCATGGAGAGTAGTAGTATTAGAGTTTTTAAAAAAAAAAAAAAAAAAAAAAAAGAAATGTTTTCCTTACAGTAAAAAAGCTGCCAATTTCATTTCAGGTAAGATACAACAACACAAAGGAAGAGGATTAAGGAACTAACATAGAAATAGCTTTGCTTTGACTTCAAGAGATGGTGTTTCATGTCTACAGAATACCTCTGTTTCACAAGGTACGTAGTTTTAAAAGAAATTTAACATATGACAGGAAACAATCGGCAATAATGTCCTCTTACAGATAAAATAATCTGTCTCTACTTTAAAAATAACTTCTGGAGTCCAGTTTTGTCATAGTGGAGATCATAAAACTGATCTTAAACCACAGACTTAACAAGCGACTCAGCTGATCTACAGACTAGAGCTTTCTTCCTCTCAGGGATGTACTGTAATTTCCCACTACCACCATCAGCCCCACTCCACTTTTGTAAATTACAGAGTAATCATGACAGTAGAAAGCTAATGGGATTTCGCCAGTTCAAGGAGACAAAAGTGCTGCAAGTCATCTTACTTGTGATGTACTGCTGCTATTCAAGTGTCTTTAGCTCTTCACCACTTTGGAACTGAGCAAGAGTCAGGAGCAACTGCCTCTCAGGATCTCCTTCACTTCTTTCAAGAGCCTATGGTTCCCAACTTCTGTTCCTGCACCGCTCCTCCTCTATGGCATTCCAAAAAATCTGTCTCTGTGCCATCTTGGCAACTGTATCATAGGCTGGCAATTCCTAATGCAAATCAGCAAATACTCTGCAGATCAGAGGACGAAACTGCTATCTCTGCAGAAAGGAAGCCATATAACACATAGTCTAGGATTCCAAATTGAGGCAGGAGAATGCTTTCTATAAAAACTCCGCAAAGTTTCAAACAACTCATGATAAAACACCTTCCAAAATAAGGCAATAAAACAGAAAAAATCCATACCTCTGGTAGAGTCCTTGTTTTGGTTATGCCTTGGATTTTGTAGAGGCACCTCATTTGACTTGTTGCTCCACATCATGTCAATTTATCTACAAAAAAACCCCACACGTAAGAACCAGAGGTATAAAGTAACAACAGATGTATCTTATGCTAAAGGGAACATAACCTTGATCACTATAACGAACGTTCACCTCATACAATGATTTCAAACACACATCATGAACAAAATCAGAAAATTAGCACCAAATCACAAATACGTTTACAGCTTGCAGTTGTTCAGAAACCACATAATTCTGCGTATAGAGAGGTGTTTGCTTCTGTTCTTGTTTTATTTGCCACAAAGAAGAGTGAACTTGATAAGAGGAAACACAGAGGTCATGCAATTCGGATCACAGTAATAAGTATTTCAGCAAGCCTGAAGATGACCACGATGAAATACTGCATATGAAGGGGTAACAGGCAGCACTACATGGCTTGTACCTATAGAGGTTTGGCAAAACCACCTAATTCCGTCAAAGATAGATGAATGTGTCACCTATCTCTGTTAAAGGAAAAGGCAGAACAGAACTGCACAGCAGGATACTACAGCCATGGGAAAAAGACAAGAATGGAGCTGTCGTCATTTTCCTGTGAAACAAGCCAACAAGAACTCTGATTAATCAGTAACTGCTGCTACCCTCTCACCAAGGACCCCCTATCTGGTGGCATGTGCTTACTGAGCCATCTTCACAACAGATTGAGGACATTTTTGTTATGGAAATTAAAAATAGGTGACCACAGAATTCATACAGGAAATTCTGGACCTCTGAAAGAGTAATGAACACATTTTCCTCCCTCTTCTCTCACGCACTCCCAGATATAATTTTTCTTATTTTCTTGATTTCTGAAAATTTGTCTTCACTTCCCTACATAGTGTGCCACATACAAGGGCATTCAAATATAAAGGTCATTCTTCTGGCAAAAGGTGACTGAATATCTCACAAAATTAACACTGTGTATTACTTACTGGAACAGATCATTGGCTGTATATTTTGCGTCAAGGATTTTTATCATATAAGGTTTTAAGGATATTCACCGCGATCAACAGTGTGTTTTGGTCCTCACATTCAGTCATATAGCTCGTATTTATGGCAGTAAGTTATCCCACACTGTTTTTATGTACAACTGTTTTTATGCCCCAAGAAAAGCTATCAATGTGAGCTTATATATGTAGGTACAGAAACACACACATACAGACACATTAGTGAAGTCTGCAACAATGCAGAAATTCTAGAAAGAAGTGGGGGGTTGTTTTGTTTTCTTTTTTAAGTATCTCATTATGGGCAACGAGCCAAGTGAGGTTAGAAGACTGCTTCTAGGACAGGTGCTGCAGAGTTCATTCATGCAGAACTGCAGCTTTGTGCCTCACATCATTCATGCTGTAAATCATAACACTGCCCTGCCCTGGAAATCATCTAATTGATCTTCTCCATCACTGGAGCAAAGAGCTGTTGTGCTAGAATAGTAGAAAATGAATATTAATAAAAATGGAGGAATTTTCCATAAAGAACCAATTTTGAGAGCTGCTGGAAATGTCATTATCATACTATTATCAGTTTCTTGCCCAAGCATAAACATAACAAAACCTACTCAATATGTAAATTTAACATAAGGGAACTTCCGGACAAGCAACCATTTCTTAAGGGATTAAGTATCCCTCTTCATGTAATTGCTTGGGATTTATTCTTATCATTAGAATTACTAGTATAGATAGGAGAACTTAGGGACTAGAATTGCATTGCTCTTGTTATACACACACAGATCTATATAGTTTATTTTATGATGCCCCTGTGAATGTAGTAATATAGTCTATGTATTCCTTAACTCTCTACGAAAATACCAGATGAACTAAAAAAGTTTGAAATTGCTTGTTATAGCTTTTACTTGAGTGTCAGGATGAAAGGTGTCAGTAATTTACCTGAGCTGAACAGAACACAAGTCCGACAAACAGTGAACACACTTCTTCTGAGAACACCTTAGTTCTACTAATAACACACAGATGTTTGCTGATGATCACTAATGGTCAAAAATTCTGTCTCAATGCCTTGGTTCAAAAGTGTACAATGTCCCTTTATAAAAGGCCACTCAACCTCTCCTCCTTTCTGTACAAGCTGGGAAACACTCACAAAGCATCCTGCTGTACCCTAACAAATACCTGCAGTGCCAGCTCCAGGGGTACGTTATGACTCTAGTGGCTTCAGTGCAGCCAGCTGAGATCCACCCAGCAGTTTTGCTTAACTCAGGTTGCTGCTGTTTGGAAAAAGAAGACATGTAAGAACTGAAAACTCTGGAGCTGTCTACAGTTTCAGCAAGCCAACACTGCAGTAGCTTTCAGTCACAACACAATCTTTGTAACTAGAAGGGTTTGGGTTTTAGGTGCCCCTCTCCCCCTCCTTTGGGAGGGTGAGAGAAATTTATCGGCTTTTCAAAACCTACCTAAAAATCATATTGATTCCCACCAACCTTTGGATTCCTACAGAACATTAGACTAACTTCTTTCTATTGTCACAGCTTACATGAATAAGTAGCCCCCTACAAAAACCCCAAGTACTTGTATAATTCAATACCCTGTCTCTGCAAGCAGTTAAAACAGGCAGAAAAGATACTTTAATGCTATCAAGAGTACAGCTAGGGGGTGGGGGAGAAAAAAAAAAAAAAAGAAATAAATCAAGACACAGTTGCCATGTTTATCTGTAGGATTTGCATGCAGGGTGGTGGACCAGTTAAACACTAAAATACACTGGAATGAATATTGACTAGAAAATAACACTATACTAAAAATTTATGCAAAGGAAGTTTAAATTATATTTGAAAACACGTTTTACATCAACACAAAAGTTGTCTCAGTGTCACACAAACAACTAGAACACATTGTAAAAATTGCATTACGAAATTTCTGCTTCAGAAAGATTTTTTTTTTTTGCTAAACTAAATGGTGCTAAATGATTCATCACGATTTAATATAGAGCTGGGGGGGGGGGGGGGGGAGGGGGGGGGGGGGGGGGGGGGGGGAAGAGAGAGGGGGCAAAAAGCAGCTGAACAGATAAAATACCAAAGAACTTCCGAGGAGACAGCAGCAATGGCAAAAGGTTATCTGCAGGCTGGATAAGGCTATAAGGATCTTAAAAGTTTATTGAAAAAGGTGGAAGACTGCAGAATCAGCAGAACTGATCTCCTAGTTATTTGGTTGCTCACCAGCAGACACAAACATCTTGCACAGGTTCATTAAAGGCTGGTTTGCCAAGCCTTGTCTTGGGTGAATAGTTAAAATGCAAACACCATTGTGTTCTGACATTTCAACCCCATGTCAAATGCCCATCTCATTCTCTACTTATTTGTCCAAGACAAAAGAGTACACAAGAGAAGGCAGAGCAGAACTGCTGTAGATGAGGATCTAAGTGTAAGCCACCAAGAAAAGGATATACTCCAAACTCCTGGAAGAAACTGGGACATGGACACGCACACCACACTCTTCCACAAACACGGTTCCTATGGGAAGACACTAAAAAAGACTGACAGATCAGAAAGCGCATGAAAAGACACCAGAAAGGAGGAAATGGAAAATAAGAGAAAAACACTGCCAAATAAAAAAGATGTGAAGAGAGCACTAAGTTTACTGCCAAACTTGCCAGGGGCGGCATTGAAAGGTGCAACAGATAAGTAACAAGTCCACATGGTAAGAGGGCAGCATTTTGAAAGGAGCAGGAGATATGAAAGTACAATATGCTTAGCAAAGGTACACAAAAACGTCAAGAGATGAAAAACACGGCTGGGAAAAGAGAAGGAAAAGTGGTGAGAGAAGCAGGATATGAAAAGGAAGAGAATGGAGAAAGACAGGAAGGAGAGAAAAATTGAATGAACTTTTGAAGAATCAGCACAGAGAGCAGCAAAAAGGAAGAAAAGAAACTGGTATTATTGGTCCAATTATGAAGTTTTTCAAGCACCCACAGTATGATGTTTTTTCTTAGTAGCACAACCTTGATAAGAAAAGGAAAGAGGAAACTCAGAAGTCATGGCACTGAAACAAGGAAACGGGAGAGGAAACTGAATCATACAGATTCAGAGAAGGCAGAGAATGAGAGCAAGGGATCGCTCACCGTTATTTTCACTAACATTTAGTGGTTATGTAAAAAAAAAAAGCAAACCCGTATGCATAGGGAACATTATTCCTCACGACTTTTTATTTCTTATAAAAACACAAGGGATATCAAATG